GTTTCTCTCACTTGTTATAGAACAACCCGTGTTGTTTCGTTTCTCTCACTTGTTATAGAACAACCCGTGTTGTTTCGTTTCTCTGTCATGCTACAAAACTACCTGTTATGATTATTTCTATGGTATGTTACAGAACCTTCTGTGATTTTCTGCAGATTTACCTTCTTTGCTCATACCCAGCATATCCTTCTGTCCATACAGGAGTGTTCCAGTGAGTACTTAAAGAGGTTTTCACACATTTATTCCAAAATATTGTCCAGGTGTTGACTTCACACTTTCATCTCTCATTACTTACTGTAATAAGTAACTTTAAAATTCATCTCCTATGTGACTGGGCTATCTTTTTCTTTTTGTTTTTAACTTGGGTAGAATTCTTCATTTGTATCTTTCTTTTTAATCCCAGGTTTTCTTGTTTTTTAATTCACCATGTTGTGTATCTCTCTAAAAAATATGTTAGGTTTGACCTTATCTTTTTAGTATTGAAGCTTATGATTCAGATATAGGATTAACTTTAACTGTATAAGTTAGCATAGAGTTGTATATAATACACTCGTCAAAAGATATTTTACTCAGGAATGGATCTATTTACCACAGTGAGACAGTTAGGTAAGAATGTGCTCAGAAGTTAAGAGAGGCCCAGTTAATTTCAGTATTATTCTTAACGTTTCCATTTTATATTCTAGAAGAAAATATACACAGTTATTTTTCTGCTGTATAGGATGAAGCATTTGGACTGTGGACAGAACAGTGGGCCAAGCTTTACCCTGAGAACTCACCTTCTCGGCAACTGTTATACTCTGTTAGTCAGAACTATTACTTAGTTAATCTAGTGGACAACGATTTCCCTAAAGAAACTTGTTTGTGGGAGATCCTGGAGGCTATGTTTGAGAAACGGAATGAAGTGGAACAGAACTCAAACACTGTTTCAAGCCAAACAGATAAAACATCTAATTGAAAACTGTACATAAAATTTTCACAATGAACAGGTAATTTTATTCACATCCATAATCAGCTGTATTGTTAAAACATACTATTGTAAAATTATAAATGGACTTTTCTCTACGTTAAAATACTTTTATTGCAAGCTTTTGGCCCTTTTACCAGAGCCTTCATCAGGCAACAATGCACTGAGTGTTTAACAAGTGTTCTTGCTCAGTGTATTATTGCCCGATGAAGGCTCCAGTAACAGGGCCGAAAGCTCACAATAAAAGTATTTTAATGTAGAGAAAAGTCCATTTATAATTCTACATATTAATTTACCTATGTTATGAGTCTTAAACAACAAAACATATTCTTGGTAAAGTGTGTCCATAAGGTACATGGACTGTTCAAAATGAACACAGAGTTTATTCATTTGAAATAGTGCTTGTGACAAATTACATTTTCTCTAAACCAACTTACATGTAGTATGAAGAGTAATTTGTCACAAGCACTATTTTTAGATAAGTTGTTGTAAAGAAAATTTACCATAAACTCAGAACAGTAACTTGTCACAAGTAAGAAATTACTCTTCTTAGTTCATGGTACAGTTTCTTTACAACTTACTACCTAAAAAATAGTACTTGTGACAGATTACTCTTTTTAGTTCAGGATGTATTTTATCTACAATAACTTACTATCTAGAAATAGTGTTTGTGATGGATGTATTTTCTCTACAATAACTTACTATCTAGAAATAGTGTTTGTGATGGATGTATTTTCTCTACAATAACTTACTATCTAGAAATAGTATTTGTGACTTCATGATTATTATTTTTTTAAGCAAATTATTAATTGTATTATTAAATTTAAATTCAGCATTCCCTTCTTTGTTTTGTAGCATTTTTACAAATCATTTAATAATGTTTTATCATGTTAATAAAACATAAACATAATGTTGAAAATTGAAGATATTTTTTAAACTGTAATTAACAAAAAATACGATGTATGATGCACAATTTTGTTTTTCAGTCTATCATTCAGTTTACAGTTTTTATTACAGGAAAACACCTTCTGGAGGGTCTTCAATACTGTCACTTCTTTTCCCAGAGATATGCAGGTACCCTGCTCCAAATAATATAAATGATTCAGGGTAATAGAAGTTTTTTTCTTCAGAGATTGTGGCCATTGTGAAGTAATTAATATTTGAAGATTAAACAAATTTAATTAAACAGAAAGTCATTTAAATACCATTTAAACAATTTTGTGTATAAACAGGACTCTAATTTTGGATGCAGAGAAATATATCATCTCAAGCTAATGTGAGGAATTTGTCATTTTCCTTAACTAAAGTCCACTGATTGCTAATAAAGTGATTCAACTTTAATTTTGGTGAATGTCTTTACTCAGAAAAGCATAATTTTTTCTTGGAGATTCTATGATTCTATTACCTTATTAAAATTCAACTTATAAATTTTTTTAATAAAAATTGGTAATCCTTAAACATAAATCCTGTATAAGTAGTGTTAACAAGCTTTTTAAGCGATATGATCCTCTTGGAAAGTTACTGAACCTTTTAATTCGGCAATAAATGCTGTTTTTAATGAAATAAAGTGTTATTCTCATACTTGATACCACATCACCAAACAAGAGTATTTAATATTATTTTGTTTTAATATTATACAATAGGTTTTGTAATACATGCACACACAATGAGGTTTTATACTTGGAAGAGTTATAAACAAAAACATGCAGAAGAGAAAAACTTGCTGGCCTCTCCTAAGCTCTTAATTACCTAAAAAACAATTATGGACAAACTACATAACTCTTAGGCTTAATACAATGTTACTCATAGAAAATGAACTTATTTGAATATCAAAAGTGAGGTGTTTATCTTTGTTGGTGTTTTTTTTTTTTTCTTCTTACACAGACGGGAGATTATTGAGTTACATAATGTTTTGTGCCACTATATGCCACATCTAAAGTATTATTTGACCATGAGATGCTTATTCTCTGTACCGTAAAAGTTTGTAAGAGTTGGATATTTAATATTTCTTTATACATAAATTCAGTTTTTCACTATTTCATTAATGTAGCATCAAACCAAAGATAACTGTAAAGAAAATGTAGAAAATGAAATAGCTTCAAGAAAACTTATTAATTAAAAGTAGGTTAGAATAAACACAACTCTACAGCTTGGTACAAATGTCTACTCAGGAGAGAACTTTTCTTTGGGAAACAAAACTTGAAATGTATGCTGAGCCATCCATTCTGTTGCTGGATAGTCTAACTTGAAACTGAAGTACAACAGAAGGAACTTACAGAATTAGTTTCTTCAAACTTGGAGAATATTGGACTGATACAAAACAACTCTCAGATTTGTAGTATTAGAAAATCTTTAACAACCAAATAGTTGTAACATCTACTTACTGTACATTACTAATATGATTAATCTAAACTAGTGTTGCTTTAATTTTATGAAAGTCATGGGTTACAGGTTTGGGATTTTTAGTAATGGCTGACTTCAACATGTAGTAAAATGTTGGTAGTCAATGATTGACTGGGTCAGTGAATAGTCTACATATTACTACAATTTTAGAATCATCATATCCCCACTCCTGTTCAATTATAAAACACATACCCACAATCGTGAACTTTCTGGCTCGTTCACTTGACAAATTCTGTTTTCCAAGTAAGCCATTACAAATTACCAGTTTGAAGATAAGCCATGAAAGAGCAGTTTTTAAAGACAGTGTGGCTTGTTTTGCTTATTTTTCTTGCAAGAACTGACAACACTAATTTGACACTTTTTTTTTACTTTGTGTATTTAACCCATTTTTGCATGTGATACCATATAAGATAGTGTAAAGTTAGCTTAGAATTCTAACGATGAAAAAATACTTCTAAACATTTTGTTTAAAAAATAATTGCGGAGCTTTTTGGTTGTGATTTGAGGAAATCATCTACATACCATGCATATTGGAACAAGTTATTACTGTTACCAACAGGTTCACAGACACCAAAGTACCTTTCATAGTTCAAACAAGATCTTATATTAGTTACTTCTTACAGTACAAATATATATAATACCAGTAAAGTGTATTTTTATGTATACAGTAGCTACATATTTAGTAAAGCAGCTAAACAATACAGTGCTTTATTCTGTTAGGTGTATTAAAGTACAGCAGTCCTCTTGCTTTATTCTGTTAGGCGTATTAAAGTACAGCAGTCCTCTTGCTTTATTCTGTTAGGCGTATTAAAGTACAGCAGTCCTCTTGCTTTATTCTGTTGGGTATATTAAAGTACAGCAGTCATCTTGCTTTATTCTGTTGGGTATATTAAAGTACAGCAGTCATCTTGCTTTATTCTGTTAGGTGTATTAAAGTACAGCAGTCCTCTTGCTTTTTTCTGTTAGGCGTATTAAAGAACAGCAGTCCTCTTGCTTTATTCTGTTAGGTGTATTAAAGTATAGCAGTCCTCTTGCTTTATTCTGTTAGGTGTATTAAAGTACAGCAGTCCTCTTGCTTTATTCTGTTAGATGTATTAAAGTACAGCAGTCCTCTTGCTTTATTCTGTTAGATGTATTAAAGTACAGCAGTCCTCTTGCTTTATTCTGTTAGATGTATTAAAGTACAGCAGTCCTCTTGCTTTATTCTGTCGGGTGTATTATGTAAGAACCAATGGAAAGTAATTTAAGAATCTACAATAACAATTGATTGGAGTTGGGTGACTAGCTCAATATAATCAATTACCATTGAGTATTGATTACATTAATTAGTGTCACATAAAATAATCAGTTAATCAAAATTAGGGATAAAGCACAGGATAGTTTATTACAAAACCTACTAGAGGTTTCTATAACAAAAGGTTTCAGAGGTTTGTAAGACACCTTGTGAGGGCTGTCAGATAATATACTTATTTTTGTTCAAAACATAAATACAGGTGTCATCAAGTTTGATGAGTAATGTAGGCAAGCTATTATTTGCTATTTGTAATTAGTAATTCCATTGAATGTAAAAAGAGAGTGAAAGGTTTTGAAGCTATAACAGTAGAAACATCTGATTTCACTCATCTTTACACTAGTCTTCATATTGATAAAATTAAAGTCTTTCTTCAACAACTTCCAGGTCATATAATAATTTGGAAAAATTACTATGTCATTAAACATAAAACTTTCAATGACAATGTCAGTCACAAAAATGAACACTTTTTCACATTCCTGCAGGCCATGTATTTTTTTACTTGTTAATACATTTATGCATTTTGGCAAATGTCTTCCAAAAATACAGAGAATTTTAATGGGAAATTATTTCAGCCCACAAGTTGCAAATTTGTATTTATTCGGACTAGAATTTTTCATACATAACAAATTTTACTAAGAAAGACTATATTAAAGCTTTGTGCATCTCATGCTTGGATATTCTTATATCAAATTATTAAGATTTTCTGGACATAGCTTAACAAATAAATCCATCAGAGTTCACTCTAGGTAAAACCTCTTCCAATAAAAACAAAGCAACCTGTCTAGATTTAGATATCACCATTATTAACGGAACATTCAAATTTAAATTTTTAAATAAAACGGACACTTTCAATAATGAAGTTAGATACCTTCTATTCCCAACTACAAATATTCTAAATAAGTTATGATACAATGGTTATTACTCTCAGTTTATTAGATACAATAGAATTTATTCATTGTTACAAGATTTGATGGATAGAGCTCATAAACTTACCTTTTTCGTAATTGAGGTTTTTTGTTATGCAAATTAAATTTTGTGGGTAAACCAACAATTTTGTTGCTAAAAATTATGAGTTTAGTAGTTTTACAGAATATCGCAACTTCTTAAAATATCTTATGACTCTACTTTGATTCCTTGGACATTGTTTAGGATTCTAGTAGATAATTTTAGTGTATTGACCACCACAGTTTTACCTACCATTAGTTTTGTTATTACTAGACCATGGCCCGTTGGGTCAACCACTATTCAGAGGTTACGAAGTATTCAAGCTAATTTCAATATTGCACCGAAATGAAGGTTTATTTTGACATAGTTTAATTAAATATTTCAACCCATTCGTGTT